CTTCGTAGTTATATTATTCTCGAGACTAGGCTCCTCGGGCTAGATAAGTTATTCTTTTTAGTAGTCCGGGAGAACACCGAACTCCTTAAACTACGCCTAAGAATTAGGTTATATTATCCGAGATTAGTAATTAATATAGGTAAGCGAAGAAGTCTCTAGCTATTAAGAATTAAGGTTAATTTAAGGGTATAAGTAATTAATTTTCCTAGGTATCTATTATAGCCCTTAGTCGGGATTAAGTAAGGTAAGAGTAGAGTATATAGGCTAAATACCTTCGCGGCCTATATCGTAAGGGATAAATTAATATAAATATAACTATTTACTTTAGTATCACTAAGTGCTAAAATTAAAAGAGAATATCTATTATAGGCTATCTAAGTAATAAAACTAAGACTTTTGCTTAATCTAAATAATCTAGTTAAATCCAGAGAATAAAGTAATAACTTCTTATTACCTAGAAAGGAGACTTCTTTTAGATTTAAACTTTTCCTAACTAATTATCCTAAGAGAGATTAGGTAGCTATTTAAGTACCTAAAGTTTAATAGTAGCGATTATAGAGATAATATTCTTTTTTAGGTACTCGTGAGTTATATACCCTTACTTATAGTAGTTAAAGTAACGATCTTTCTTTATTAAAGTATTATATTTATTAACTAATAGTAGCTTATATAGAGCGATATCTATACTCTCGCGCTTTATGAAAAGTGACTATAAGACACGGGAATAAGTTATATTAGCTAAGACTCCTATAATAGCTTTAGAGAGGGTAATTAGTTTGTGGGAGATCCAGTGGGAGATCCAATAAGAGATCAAGTCTTATCCTTCGATGAATAAAAGAATATTTCCTTAATAGGAAACCTTAGGGTATGATATGATGATTGAAGAAGAATTAATTTTTTTTTGTAGAGAATTGCGGACATATTTATATCCAATCAACAATATTCTAGGCCTATATTAGACTTGCATTGTTTTAAGTCTAGGCCTGTCTTGCTTTGAAATCAATCATAGTCTAGGCATCATTTTTAGTTGTCAAGGCATCATTAATAGTCTAGACCTATTGTCAAGGCATCATTAATAGTCTATCCATAGAACACCTTTTAATAGACCTATTATAATTAGGTGGCTTTTCGTATTTACCTGACCAATTATAAAGATCATAGTCTTCTTGGATGACTAAAGGTAATGCTGACAGTCCTTGATAATGCTGACAAAGGTAATGCTGACAGTCCTTGAATATGCTGACATAGTTTATAGGACTTCTTAGCCTTAAATTAAAGGGTAATATTATAAGCTACGCTTTAGTAAATATAAATTAACTTATTAAAATTAACGGAAGTCTTATCTATAAGTAATATTATTTAGGTCTGCAGTAAGTTCGGTAGCTTATTATAAAGGTCTCGCTTCCGGCGATCCTTTAGTTAATTTATTTCTTTAATAAGATAAATGAATTTAGCGAGAAAATCGTAAAAGTCGTCCTTTAGCTTTATTATTAGATACTAATATTCCTAGTAAGCCTTAGTAATATAGTTTAGGTTCTAAAAGATACCCTTTAGGTACTCTATAATATCTAGGGTATCCTAATAAGGGTTTAAGGTATCTTATTTTAAATAAGGGGTAGATATAAAGAAGTACCTTCCCTTTATAATAGCTTATAATATAAATTATATAATATTTAGTAGTAAAATAATAATTAGCATTCGTAGCTAACTTATATTTAATTATCGTAGCCTAAGCGTTAAATTGAACTATCTTACTATTATCTAATATAGGAGTATTAGGTATTTTAGCTAATAGATAGCCTTAGGCTTTAGGGACTTAGGGGGTCTTAATAGTTTAGAGTATTTTAAGGGCTCGGCGCTACGGATTAAAGGAGCTAAAAAGTAAGGTTATTCCGTTCGCTAACTATAAGATCCTAGTAAGTAATAGCCTTATCTCGCTCTTAGGTTACGTTAATAATAGTAGCCTTAAGTTACTTATTATTAGTTTATAAAAGTTATACTAAATATTGTAGTGGGAGAACTGGTGACATAATGAGCCTATGTGTGGCCTCAGGCATAATTTAATGTCTGCAGTGCATAGTACATCTCCAGACACACTTAGAGAGAGACAAGTCATCTACCCAAATTCATTCAGGATTCACCCAATTTCTTCTATCCATAATGCAGCATTAAGATTATCCCGCACGGCCGCAACAGGGCATCAGTACGGCCTCATCCAGCATCCTCTACACCAGACAGGCTGTGTGTGTGTGTTGTCCAGTCTGCATCGCCAGACAGCCATCGAGCCGTTCCCATTTCAATATATATTTTTAGAGATCTATAGGTCTTATTAGGTCTAATAGGTCTCGCGCTAGATTAATTATTCCTATAGGCTATCTATATTCTTTTAGACTTTCTTTCGGAACTAATCCTTAGAGTAAAACTCCTAGCGGATAAGGTCCTTAGTCTCTAGGTTATCGATCTCGAAGCTAATTATATTATAGTGTCTTAATAGGTTCTAAGATAGGGTCGAGAACTTAGGTAGCTCCTATTTCTTAGCGAGCTTCTCTTAGATATTTTCCTTATTATCCCCCTCCTTAGAGAGGAGATTCTTAGTCAGTATAGTACGTCTCCCGCGTCGGTCACGCGACTTAGACTTCGTATAGATATTAGTTCCTTTACCTATAATATTATTTTGTTATAGCGTTCGGCAAAGGTTTGGTTCGGGGTTTATTTATTTAGTTTCAATTCGTTAAAGGGTATCACTAGTGGGGTAAGATAGCGATAGCGCAGTGTCTAATATCTGGACTGTACCCAGAGGCAATAAGAAAGAGAAAAGAGTAGTTTAGTTATATATTACCGACTAAGACAAAGAAGAATTCGTGTATTATTAACTGTTGGGATATAAGGGTAAAGCTACCACGAAGCAGATCGTGGTCCCTTAAGTCCGTGGGATCAACCTTAGTCTGACTAGGTCAGTCGGTGCCAGACAAAGGTAGAAGGTCAAAGGTCGTAGGATAGACTATAAGCAGATATAGCCTAAACGAAGGCAGAACCACAGTCCTGAGGATCAAAGGAAGAAGGTAGAGATGACTTTGGAAAGTGGACAATGACTTCAGGAAAGTAGAAATGACTTCAGGAAAGTAGAACTGACTTCAGGAAAGTAGAACTGACTTCAGGAAAGTAGAACTGACTTGATTCTATCTGCTAGACAAGAAGGACGTATTTATAGGCTAGGATAGCCTAGAAATAACGTCTAGAGAATAACATACAAATGACGTACAAACACTAGGCAGCAACATAATGAAGGTGGCAAAGAAGGGAACCGAAGAGAAGCGAAAAGAATGATGTCAAGGATCGACGGTCTAAGCCACCCCGAAAGCACCCCCGCAGGATCAGGCTATGTATGCCTAAAGGTGGACCATTTTACCCCTAAGGGAAAGTGGTCCGCCTATCCTTAAGGGACCGAGGGTCGAAGTCTGTTCACCGGGGTCCGAAGACTATGGTCGAAGTCCGCGGGCAAGGCATGCCCGAAAGTACCCCCGAAGGAACGGACCATTCATGCCTGAAGGCGGACCATTTACCCCTAAAGGAAAATGGTCCCGCCTATCGTTCGGGGGAGGGCCGCGGACCAGAATCAGAAGTGGTCAAAACATCATTTTGATAGAAGAAAAATCTGGTCACGTGATCAATACAATCTGGTCTTATATGTTGAATATAAGGATAGATCTTTCTATGTAGCATTGGTCTATATTCCAATATTAACAGAAGCAACTAAACTGGAGAAGAAAAAGAAGAGAGAAAGAGGGAAACGAGCATCTACGAAACAAACCCACTTCTATCCCGAATCGGGTTAGACCCACGGCTCCTTCCAGATCACGTTCCCCCTCAGGCCTCTCTCAGGCCACAAGACATTCATGCGTCACATATATAGTGGACTTCAAACGCCTCCTTTTTTTGATATTGGGTTTATATTATTATACTGTGATTATCATCAACGCGTACTCTCCTTCCCGTTGGAGGCACTGGGGCGGTGCCACAGGTTCCGACAAATTTGCACTACCATGTCTCTCATGGGTCTCTCTCTCATAGCCTAGATAATCTTCCTTTCAATCTGCATCCAATATATCAGCATTTTCCCATGCTTATACTTCCCTAGCCATACAAAGAGGTGATAAGCCCAGAGGCTTGTTGCTATCACGTTCACGGGTCTAACAACCGTATGTATCATCGGGTATCCATCATATAAACCTCGCTTCCGCTAGTTCGCCATCTCTACACCAGTGCGGCCTACGGTTCGTTCGTACAAGCACGACATTTAGCTTCGTGTCCCCCCCCCCCCTAAGCGAAGAAGGCCTTCGCTACCTTTACAGCCACAAAGGAGAGCATTACTAACATACAGGTTATACCAAAATCAGAATTATAGAAGAGTTACATGTCCAGATAAATGAAAATTTCAGTGTATTCAATTTAATGGAGTTTTGGTCAAAATAAATGCATTTGAATTTAATAGGTCGGGTTGCGTGGCCGGCTCGTTTACATGGGCCGGCTCGCTTACCGATTACTTTAATAGTACCTGGAAAACGATAGCCGGGACCTTCTAGGGATTATTTAGGCCGACCTTGGGCAGACCATCATCCACTGCAACACTTGTTCCTGTAGATGATGAACCTTGCTTCTCAAGATCTTGCTGGGCTGGGCCTGAACTGATCCGCCGACCGGTATCAAGTTAATATAAAGGAATAGTCACGATCGTCATACAGTGGCGTTGCAAAAGTTAGAAACCACCAATTCCCCACAATTCTTGACCGCGAGAGACCAGTAGCTACCTAAGATGGAATAGATAGGCCAGTCTATTCCATCTTAGGTAGCTACTACTCTGCTATTAGAAGGCGGAGACGAGAACAGTCAACAAGAGGTTTCAAACTTTTGCAACATCACTGTACTAAAAGTGCCTCGATCTATCGGCAGGTCAGTTTCTATCTCTAGGTAAGGATCTTTGCAAATGATTGCCTTATTACATGGCGCAGGCTTCACCACTGGAGCGGCAATTGGAGCTAACCCGGGAACCCACGAATGAAGGCATTGGCAAAGTGACCGCATACTCGTTCGCTAAGCATGGCGTCCACCAACTAGCTCTGGCCGATATCAACCTCTCCGCAGCACAGACGGCCGCCCGAGAGATTCAATCCAGTTTTGATGGCATATAAGTCATTACTCCCAGAATAGACGTGACCAGCGAAGCATCCATTAACAATGCAGTGGCCAAAACAGTGGGCCAGTTCGGTAGGATCGATTTTGCCGTGAAGAATGCGGGGATTGGGCGCTCCATGGATCTATCGGCCGAGCATAACGTGGAAGAATGGTCCAAGACCCTGGATGTGGATATGACTCTCAGTAGCCGTGCCAAGATAAGGGTGATGCTGCGGCAGGAAAAGTTGAAGAAGTAAGTGGCCTCACGTCCGCCGCTTTGCTGCGTCTGCTTGTCCAATCCTCCGCGTAGCTCTTCGCCATATTACCGAGGTGTCATCATCAATTTAGCCTCTATACACGCCTTGATCGCAACATCTCTGTGCGTTCCTGTGGTGACGTACACAGCATCGAAACACAGAGTCATCGGCTTTACGTGGGCGGACGCCGTCCTATATGCGCCAAACGGAATCAGAATCAATGCCATGTGCCCTGGATACGTGGCAACGTCTCTCGTCCAAAGTATCATGCAGACTGATGTGATCCAGAAAGAAATCCCAAAAATACCCGCAAGTAGAATGGTGGAGATGGTCGAAATCGCCGATCATATCACTTTCCTTGCGTCACCGATGAGCAGCTATATATATGGGGCGGCGATGCTAGCGGATGGGTAAGCGTGTTCCGTGCTTACTGTTCTGGATGATTGAATCTAACCCTGGGGTTGTGCCTTCTAGTGGCTTCACGGTCCAGGAACGTATGCCAGGCATAAGCACTCCCTACGGAATACAGATCTCCATTTATTTCCGGCGGGGAGTAGGGTGGTAGGAAACGTGGACAGACAACGATTTCCTCTGGGTTATCAAGGCTCTAGAAACTTAAAAATGGCAGTGAGCGTTCACATCTCGTTACTAGTATGAGTCTAAATGTAGTAAAATAGCACAAAGTACCGAGGGCCAGCGCATCAGTACTACGCGAGGCTTGCCTTTGCCATGCAGGTAGCCTCCCCAATCAAGTTGTGTAACATCAAAGCATAATCCTCGTGCTGATAACATTGAACAGTCACTTAAAAGACATATCAACTGATTATCTCGGTCCAGATGTTGTCTGGCCTTGTTAGGATCTCGGTATTCCTCGCATCTGTGCTGCTTGGTTTCCGATCTGCTGGCTGGTCTCCCCGAATCCTGTCGCTGAAAGATGAACTACCCAAATCACTATAACGAACGCCGCTCTGGGACAAGCCTGTCATGCCAGAGCTACCAGCATCCGCACCACTGCCGGAAATTTGTGGCATGCTGTTGTCACCCCCACTGATTTCCCTGCCCTGGACTGATCCACCAGAGTCTTCAAGGAGGTCCATAAATCTCACGTTGCTCTCCCTTGCTAACCGGGAATATGAAGGCGTTTCACCACTGGCCCACGCTGAACGGAATACAGGCGATGACGAGTGGCCAGCCATGTCATCCTCGATCGCAAATGGGTCCGACTCACTGAAAATAGGCCAGGAGTCGTCGATGTTGCTCATGTCTCCGGCAGTGACTACAAAGTCTTCGTCTGTTACCCCATATCCACTAATCTTATCTGAGGTCGACTGTGAGGTCGGCGGGGGTGATGGCAATATGTCTTTCAAAGGCCTGCGGAATTGCTCGGCCGGAGAGGGCATTGACTGCCTCGGCTGCGCGTTTGCTCGCGGTCTGTTTGACGGACCCCTCTTAGAGGAAACACAGTCTGTTTCGTCCTCGTAATCTGCAGAACTCCCTCGCCTGGCTGGCACCAAGCTGGGCGAATTTCGAGCTGGCTGAAGGTCTTTGAGCTCTAGAAGGGCTACGTTGAACGTGGTAGCCATCCGCTCCGCTGGTTGATATGTTTCGGACATGTCTTTCAGCACGGCGGTCAGGCATTCTAGGTACCTCATGTTCTTCTCATTGGCGACTCGGTCCCTTGACGATGTTATTGCAGCTACCAGCGCAATTGCTGCGTTTCCAGCATGCTGCAGGCCGGTGACGAATATCTTTCGAGTATCGAATCGTCGACGATGCTGCCAGAAAATCTGCGCGATCCGACTAGCGCAGGTAGTACATGTCTCACGAGAGATGATAGACAGACGGCTTGCGGCTTCGATTGAATCACCGTCGTTCGTCTTGCAATTGCTCGTGCCGTTCAAAATATCCTCGTAAGCTGCGAATGGGCGGTGCAACATAATCATAGTGGAGTAATACTGTTGATGAAGCAAGAAGAATGAGAAGGGGGCCGTCTTGACATTCTCCGCAGTATACTGCAGCTCCACCGGCAGTCGCGCGTACCATTCCCCAAGCTCGCTATCGAGAGCCGCCATTCGAAGGTATGCAAGTCGATCGAGGTTGGCACTCCGACTCGACACGTTTTCCACAGTATTAGTGATTTTCCCGGCCAGCTCCATGATTTCGAACAATTTCTGGTATATTTTTGTCTCAAGACTCTTCTCCGGGCCCACTGGCTGGGAGGTGCCTAATCGGTCGAACTGCCGCGAGAGCTCGTAGACTTCCAAGTCATCTGGTTTCAAAGCCGTTGGTCGGCCGAGAAATAGGGACCAATATCGGTCGAAGACAACACAAGCCCAAAGAGTCATGCGGTCGATCTCAATGTCTTCCTGCGACACTCCTGGGCCCGATCGATCTAGGTGTAGCCCTACATCGAAGCACAGACGATACGCCATTCCGGAGTACAACCAGCCGGCATTATCCCTACCGCAACCAACTTCTAGGTCTCCCCAGAAGAAGCAAAGCTCCGATGGATGGAATCCCGCCCGGCCGCTCGATTTCGTAATCAAGCATATACTTGGCTTCTCTGTGGAGGGTGCTCTCTCTTCCAGGTAGCATGATGCCTCGCATATCCGGCCGCTGCTTATCCGCAAAGCGGCATCCGGCAGCCAGGATACATATGTGCAGGAACCCTGAATAAAATGGTCCCCCGCCGGCATCTCTTCCCTTTTCAAACGCTACGCGGTGGATCACATGGATAACGGAATTGTAATCCTGCCAAAAGAGATCCATCAAATAGTCACGCGTCGCATGCGATAAGGATGATAACACACGCTGCGTCCGTCGCTCCTGTTCTTTGGCTTGCCGGCGGCTCTCTTCCGATTCTCCAGCAATATCGGAATAAATGTGGCAATTTGTTGTAGGGCCAAAGTAACGTAGCCGCCCCGCAAGATGATCAAAGCTAACTTGACCTCGGGTGGACAGGAGTTTGTGAACCATGGGCGACTTCCTGCAGCTGGAGCTTCCTGGGCCAGCTGTGCTGTCTTGCAGGCTATACGGGTCTCCAGCTGACTCGATCCGGTGTCTGGGAAATGTTGGTTCAGAACCTGGGAGATTAGGCAAGGCGAAGGTAGTGGACTCCGACTGTGCGTTCTGAGAAACATTCTCTCTGGTGTTGCTGATCGCTTGGCCGTTGTTCTGCTGCTGGTCTGCAGACCGCGGCTCCTCCTCCTTTTCTCGCAGTGCTGTTTCTAGTTGGTTTATCCTATCTTCGAGCAAATTTACATGTGCCTTCGAGACTGGCCTAGGAATTACTGTTAGCTCCCTGCATCAGGATGAAACTCGAGTAACCTGAAGAACGTACTTTCTTCTTTGGTCATCGTTCTTGATGATACATTCCTGGCCGGTGTTCATACACTGGGTGCAGGACCGTTCTCCCGTATATACTACACACCTTGTTCGTCGTTCTCGGCAGGCAATGCAAGCCACGGATGCTCGATGGCGTGGTTTGGACGTCTTCTCATTGCCTGAACCAGACATATCAGCCTGCCGCTCAGCGGTCTGAGCTGGGGCCATTTGTTGGACCGAAGTGAGGAAAGCTCTGACTAGAACGCCACTACAGGTATGTATCCGATTTAGTTGCGTCTCCGCTGCAAATTGACTTGATATCAAAAGGTTGCTCGAATGGTGTACTGAAAATGGGGTGTTTCAAAGGGGAAGTTCCAAGGTTGGAGATAATGTTATATGAAGCATCCGGGTTTTCGGCTATTGGAATTAATAGCTAGGAGACAAGTCACGTTGCCTACCTAGGTAGTCAGATTAATAACTACTAACTACTACTGGTATGTACCACCATGTACTACTACTAGTATGTACAGTGGCACCGCAAAAGTATTTGACCACCTATAGACCGCCTTATTTTCTGCCATATTTTCTGCCAGCCATAAAACTCCATGAATTCATGCACCACACCACTAATATTTAGTATACCAGCCATTTGACTTGATAATTGCCTGCACCCGATGCGGCATAGTCTCTGATAGATGCTCAAGCATCCCTAGATCAAGCGCATCCCACGCGTCCTGTGCTATATCGATCAGGATATCAAGCGTTTCGTTATTATTCCGCATATGCAATAGATCAGGCCGAATCTGATATATCTTCTGCTTTAGAAGCGTCCAGAGGTTCTCGATAGGATTAAGATCAGGCGAAATAGGTGGCCATTCCATAACCTTAATTCCTAGCTCGATTAAAGCTTCGCGTACGATATAGGCAGTATACGAAGGTGTATTATCTTGCTGAAATATCGCATTTAGTGTCGACGATAATAAAGTAGGTAGGATCCTCCGATAGTTATCCTTAATCACAAACGGATCTACACCCCCTCGTAAAGACTGCGATATACCGGCGGTGATTAATGGAATAAGCCCAGTCCGTCGATATACACCAGAAAATGAAGCCCAAAACATTTACTTAATCTGCTTCCCCTTCGTAGGCGTAGGCATTATATCGCCTAGTTCGGCCTGATAGCAAGGACGAGTGAAGGTATATTCAGGTCGAAGACCTTACCCACGTTCGATAGAACACTTATCAGACCAAAAAACGCGATCCTAGTCCTCTTTCATATAGTGTTCGTATCTCCGCGCCCACGAGAGTCGTTTTGCGGCGTGTTCATCCTTTAAATAAGGCCGTTTCATCACTCGCCACTTCTTTAGACCTTCAACAGACAGTAAGCGAGCGATAGAGTCTTTCTTGCATTTATTACTGACTTCTGCAAGAAGGTCTGCGTATTGAACGCGTGGTTCGGCGTGGACTTTGTCGATAATCTTCTGCCGATTAGCCTCATCTAGCACCTTCGGACGGCCAGAACGAGGTAAAGATATATTCATATTGCGCTCGTTAGCCTTTTTGACCGTATATTTGATCGTCGATAGAGGAATAGAAGGGTATTCCCTCTGGATTTGCTTATAAGACCATAGCGCAACCGTTTTCAGTTCGACGATCTTCGTACGCGTCCATACGTCAAGCTCGCATTTAGGCCTTCGTGGAGCGGCAACGGGTGCCCTCCACGGCGTAGGGGTGATCCGTATAGGAGGCATATGCGTATAGGTATAGGGTATAGGTAAAAATAATAATAATAGCTTCATACGCGGCACGCGTTGCTAGAACACGCTAGTTTGGTGTGTTTTGGAAGGCCTATTATGGTAGGCGGTGGAATGAAGCTAAAAAAGCGGTGTGAAGGTTGGTCAAATACTTTTGCGGTGCCACTGTACTAGCTTGTGAATATATACTTTACCCCGCCTTTGGCCCCACACACTTGAATACTTGGGATGTCTGGGGCCCCGCAGGTATACAGTGAACGAGTCATGAATCTATCTTCTTGCTTTTCCCCCTCCCCCCCTATGAATCATGCTTCCGCTCGGGCGTCAAGGGCCACCACGAGTTACGGCATAATCCAAGATGAAGATTACTCGGACTGATTTGGATTCTGTAACAGTCCGCCGGAAGAATTTTGTTCCGGATAGTCTACTGTGAACGGGGATGACAAATGAACTTAGATAATAATGATGAAAGAGATGGGATCGGTTGATTATTTTGAGGAAAGACAAGCAGCTCAGACGATCTGCACTGTGTACAGCAGCCCTGAAGACGTGATGCCTAGGTGACTGGAAGGCGGCAACACTCTCTATCCCACACATATCCTTGACGTGTGGCACCTACACAAGTCATCGGCAGAAGGAAGAGGGAGAGACAGCGTGCTCCAGTAATCTATGAGTTGAGCCCGTCGAACCTATCAGATCCCCTTTTTTATCCCCCATTTTCATAGACAAATTGATGTCAAATTCTGTATCAAATACTTTATCAAATGCTTCATGAAACAAGCCTTTTCTTTGGTATGAAGATCATATAAATCAAGATAAATCTAGCATCTTCACGAAGGGCTAGCAAGGTGTGTTTCCTAGTGGTTCCGTGAACGTATCTGCCACGCATTTTTTTGAGACATAAGGGCCTGACACCTTATCGCTTATTAGACTGGATTATTTTGGAAGTCCACGACTCCACAACATACAAAAAGACCACTACCTCAACTTTCGAGGTTGACATGTCAGGTTACCGATTTATGACTACCATACCCCATACAGATTATACAAGTTATTCAAACGCAGGTGGTTAATTATACCGTAAGAACCATCCAGCTCTAATAGGTTCGATCCTCGTGATCAGCGTTGCAGTTTACCGCCGACCGCCGAAGGTCCAGTCTTCCAAGGTTCTTTGCTAACTCCAATTCCCCCAGTCCAGCCGTTCGGAGCTAAATCAGCGAGCAGACGCATAATGCCCCACCTAAAAGTCACACAGACCCAGCCTATTTGTTGCAAGTCAGTGAAGGGGGTTTGAAGATGCTTGAGAAGTATACCTCGAAGGCGAATGAACATGAACCAAACATACCCAGCAGTAGACGCAATTCAATTCAATTCAATTCGATTCAACTTTCTATAACCTAATTAAGCCATCTTCGAACGTGTAGCTATGTAGGCGTTCCCTCCATCGGGAACCAGAACCATCCTAACGCCATACCCCCGGTAATCAAAGACAAAGGAGATACGGCGTACTGTCATAGTAAAACAAACAAACAATCCAACAAAACGGTAACAAAACGCGCTTAATGAAGGTAATCGGCTACTGCCAGCTCAACAGTGCCCTGCGGCCACTCCGACTTCGGCAATTCCCATAATCTCTCCATCCCCGCCCCGGTGGCTTTTGATCGCGTCGAAATGCCTGGATCCTCCTGTTTTTGTTCTGAGTGTATTTCGATTCCTCGGACGGCAGCCTCTCACAGCTGCGGCCCGTCGTCTAATCTGTGTTGCCAGCGTCTTCACCTCCTAGCATCCGTTGCTAGTCTCTTTTTCTAGCATTTCGATGTTCAATTCGACTTCTTCGGAGTCCATAGGACGGAACTGGCCTAGAATTCCTGTTTGGTGCATGAATTTGGCCACGTAGCGGATGACCTGCGATTTTGATACAATGGTATTGTAATCGGCTAAGTTCCCCAGCTCCGTCTTGTGTCGGAGCTCGCTCAATAGCGTCGCTCGAAAGCCAGTGTTTAACGGGTATTGGAGGAGGATTTCTGGGGGGTCTGGCTACCCTCCCCACAATGACACCGACCTCGATTAAATTCGTCCTCTTCTTCATCCCCTTCTCTGCGTCGCTGAGTGACGCACTTGTACAATAAGTGTCTCAACACAATCCGCTCCGTCCGCATCTGCATGACAATCGACGTATATGATTTCGGCAGTCCCTGGTACAATTTCAACACCTTCTTGTGCGGCATCTCCATCATTTATGATAGCGAACCGCCCTCTTGCTCGCTGCTCATTCTTTCATCCAGCGTTCCTTCATCCGCTGTCAGACCCATCGCCTCGCGGAGGAAGTAGACGCAAGGTGATGCAAAGACTAAATAGGGCCGATATGCAAGCAAACTTTGCGGGGTGCAAATATTCCTTTCCCTCTAGAATGACCTGAAAAGGATCCATAGGAGTCTCCGCTTCTAGTCATCAAGCCAATTACAATCCACAAGCTCGGCTAAATATGCCAACAGAGATATCTATTTGCAGCTTAACAATCCGAGAGACCAATGCGACTGCCACAAAATTTGCGTAGTTCATTGGCGACCAGTAATGAACGAAAGCTTCCGAGGAGTCCTTTTATATCCCCAAAACTCCCCGGATCTATCGAAAATAATCGCTGAAGGCGCGCGAAAGAATAAGCGTAAAGATCTCTTTACATCGTTATGCAGAAAGAAAAGTCAGACAGAATAACCACGCTAGGGTTGAGAATAGCGGGCTATTTCAACAGGTCAAATCTGTCATAACAAGAGGTAATCTACCACGAGCACTATGCTAGTAGTATGTCAGATGCTGAATAAGCAAAGTTCTAATGCGGGGACCAAACTATCCCTTCATCCCATCAAGGCGGTTGTTCTTCTCCTATAGTTTTCCGCCGCCCGATCTCTGACTAGGTTTTAGTGTCGTACCAGGGCTCGTTAAAGTATGCTTGTAGTTGGATGACAATTTCCGGCTACATACTTTTCGTATTGGGCCTGAGCTAGGTGGAATCTGCCAGCGCGTTTCGAGATCACATATAGTAGTCGAGCATCAATAATAGAGGCTATGAATCGCCCTACTTGGTTCAACTTACTCCATCTGGGTCTGTTAGTACTTCATCCTTCTCTATTTTGTTTAGCAAAGTGACAATGCCTCAAGTTGAGGTTGCCGCAAGGAGATAATGGCGACAGCAGCCATACTCCGAGCTTTGAGGGAAAAGGTACTGAGGAATCGTCGAGCTCTGTTAACGCTCTAGTGAGTGCCGACATGGCTTCTCTGCCATCGGGGTACTTTACCAGCGCTTTCTTCCTGGGTACAATGGTTGCATCGGGGCTTGCCCTCAGCGGGGTGAGTTTGATGACTTTATTACCACCAAAGACTAGATACTCCGTGATCCATGGTAATTTGCTGACTACATAGCACAGGGAACCGGGGGTTTCGCTCTCGCGGCTCCTATCCTTAATATTATCAATGCAGACATTGGGCCTGACCCTAATTATGTCTGGATCAGCTTGGTCTATACCTTAACCCTTTCGGTTGGCCTGACCATCGTCGGCCGGCTTTCTGATCTCTTTGGACGCCGCTGGTTCTTCATCTCGGGAAGTGCCCTCGCTGTCATCGGTTGCATTATCTGCGCTACTGCTCAAAGTGTGTCGATGGTCATTGGTGGCACCACTCTCATTGGACTCGCTGCGTCGACCCAACTATCATTCCCATTTGTGGTTGGAGAACTTGTGCCAATGGAGTATCGTTTTATGGCTAGTGCGTTTATCTACGTCTGGTCCATTCCATTCTCTGGACTTGGACCGATGGTATCGTACGCCTTCGTGCTTCACACCGACGCAGGATGGCGCTGGTGCTACTATTTGATGATCATTGTGAACGGGCTCAGTCTTGCCTGCTGGTATTTCTTCTATCATCCACCTACTTTCTCTATGAAGCATCGCACGACAACCAAATGGGCCATGGTAAAGAATTTCGACTATGTAGGGTTTTTTCTCTTTACTGGCGGGCTCCTTATCTTCCTCATGGGCCTTTCCTGGGGCGGCTCTGTGCACCCTTGGAAGTCGGCCTATGTTATCGGCACACTAGCCGTTGGCTTTGTTGCTTTGGTAGTCTTTGTCCTCTGGGAATCCTTAGGACAATCAAAGGAACGGCTGGTCCCGATGCACCTGTTTCGGAACACTGGTATGTATCTTCGGTTCCAGCTTCAGGAGTTCCACCGACTAACACAGTTCCAATACAATCCAGGCTGGGACGCAACGATTCTCCTCATCTCCCTGGGTGCGTCTGTTTATTACGCCTTCTCAATTATCCTCCCGCAGTTGGTTTTTGGGGTTTACACCAGCGACCTGTTCTATGGGTCCGCTCTTTCCAGCATCGTCGGGGCTTGCATTGTCATGGGCCAGATAATTGGGGGCCTACTATCCAAACGAATTGGGAAGCAGAAGTGGCAGCTAGTCATCTCGACTGCCGCGTTCATGGGCCTCCTGGGCGCCGTGTCGTGTGTAACGGTCGACAATAAGAATACTGTCATTGGTCTTCTGATCGTGGGCTGCTTCTTCGCAGGTTGGGTTGAGGGGATTGGCCTTGCAATGGCGACTATCCTCATTGACGACCAGTCTGAGATCGGAACCGCCCTCGGTGTTGCCGGATCAGTGAGGTCGACTGTCTCGACTGTTGCGGCAGCGATCTACTTGACGGTCCTGTCCAATCGCCTGGGAAAAACAATACCCACTGAAGTCCCACCCGCACTTATCGACGCCGGTCTGCCAGCCTCCTCTATCGCTGGCTTTATTAAGGCCGTCCCAACCGGCTCATTCAAGGGGATCCAAGGCCTGACGACCCACATTATCGAGGTAGGCGTCGCGGCGTACAAGGCTGCGAGTGCATCGGCATACCGCACGGTGTTCCTCACGTCAATCGCATTTAGTGGTGTGGCGCTGATCCTGAGCTTCTTTTGTCCCAATGTAGATGACCGGATGACCGGGATGGTGGCGATCACATTGCGCAAGGAGAAACATGGTAGTGATGTTCAAGGGAGGAAAGAGGCTTCGACGGACGCAAAGCACATGCATGTCGAAAATGTGTAGGAGACTAGGGTCACGTACGCGTCGAAAGTCAAGTTTAATTAATAATTCATTCATACTATTCGGCTGAAGAGCAGAAAACTTTTTTGGCTTGGCCTGCACGGGAACCGATTCTCGAAGTAGTCTGGTTCACTGATCTATAGTCAACATGAGGCCTAATGGCTCCTGCTAGCTCGTCGCTATACGCCCCGTGTCAGTAGAATCGTTTTCATTTTTCGACTCTCATAATCATGTTACATGTAGGCTTCCCATTTGACATCATCCTCCATCATTCCCGAGAATTGTCGATCCGACCGCCTACCCGTGGACAAGCCGGCGGTCGATTTATTCCAATCTTCAAGCACATAACTAAAGTGGAAAGACAGAAAACCGAGGCCATATCCCATAGCAAAAAGGGAGGAGGACGAGATACCCTCACCTTAGAAGACAAAGGAGGGACTTTAATATGTCAAGTTTACCATTATCGTCTTCGGCTCAGTAAAGTGTTCTAATGCATTCCGACCACACTCGCGACCGAGACCGCTTTGCTTGCTGCCGCCAAAGGGCGTGTTCAGAAAAGTCAGGCTTACACAGTTGATCCCGACCATTCCTGATTCAAATTCGCTGGCCACCCGGAGGGCCTTATTGATATCCTGGGTAAAGACACCCGCCATTAGGCCGTACTCGCTGGCGTTCGCTTTTTTAATGACTTCTTCCTCGGTCTTGAAGGAGTTGAGGATAGAAACTGGACCGAAGATTTCGTTTCGGTATAGCTCCGCATCCGGGGCAACCCCTGTAAACACAGTCGGCTGGATGAAGCAACCCTTCTCCCCAACCCGCTTGCCACCTGTCAAAAGGGTGCCTTGATGGGATAGAACTCCGCGCTCGATGAAACCAGTAACACGCTGGAACTGGGCTTCGTCGACCAAAGGCCCCATCAGAGTCGTGTTGTCGTCCGGATCGCTGATAGCTTTTGCGCGCTCCTCCAAAGCGGCCTTGTACCTATTTGTGAACTCTTCTAAAATTCCTTCCTGCACATAGACCCTCGATGCGGCAAAGCACACCTGGCCAGTATTCGCTGTAATCGCGTTTACACACCATGTGATGGCGTTATCCAGGTTGCAGTCGTTGAACACCACCGCCGGCGACTTACCGCCTAGCTCTAGTGTCACACGCTTTAGATTGGATTCGGCGGCCATTTTCTGAATCAGTTTACCAGTCGAGATTGACCCGGTAAAGCTGACTTTCCGTATCCGCTGATGGCTCGCCAACAGCGCGCCCGTTTGACCGGCTCCAGATAATACTTGAAAGACGCCGGGCGGAAAACCGGCCTCCTGGATCAAACCCCCCAGAGCCAGTGCGGCAAAAGGCGTTTTCTCCGACGGTTTCAAAATAAAGCAGTTGCCCGTCGCCAGGGCAGGCGCAGCCTTGAGGCCGACTGTTCCTAAAGGCCCATTCCAAGGCACAATCCCAGCAGTGACGCCTAGTGGTTCGTGTCGGGTGATGCGCATAAAACCATTCTCCTGTGGGTATGCCTCTCCAGCGAATTTGTCGATCCAACCGGCATTGTAACGGAATGCTTCGGCGCAGAGGTTGATCTCGAATCTGCCAAAAGCCAGGTACGGAGCCCCAAGCGTGATCCTGGTAAGCTCTGCCAGACTTCAGCATGCTGCTCGAGGAGTGATGCAAAATTGAGCATGATATCGCGTCGTTCCGACGCAGCTACAGCCTTCCATGCGGGCAATGCAGCTTCCGCGGCGGCAACGGCGGCATCGACATCCTCTCGGCCGGCGACAGGCACTTTGTCAGAAACCAGGGAGTTATCCTTGGGATTGAAGAGAGACAAAGTTTCCTGGCTCTTGGCGCTGATAAATTCGTTGTTGATGAAAAGTTTCGTCGGCAGATTATCCGCAGAGAAGCCAAGTATAGAACTGTTGGATTGGAGGCGGTTGGCGGAACTCATAGTGATATCTTTGTTTTCTTGGGTCGATACCAATAGGCCACCGAGTCACGTCGTAGGAAATCGAATGGGCTTTTATGTCCTGATTACGTCCACATTGCATTTCGCTCGGGCGGCTTTTATAAAATATTCATAACACATAATTGGGCTCTTGACCACGCCCGTGTGTGTAAATGCTCTGGTTGTGTCTGGAAAACATCGTCCGGCCCCACCAGACATCAATTCCCTCACCGGTTACTGAATGATGAAGCATCCAATCTAGCCCGATTTCTTTCAGGGTTTCCTTTTCCTGAAGCCAGTTACCGAAAGCTCTGAGACCTTGGCTGGCCAACCTCGCGTTGGGCTACAGCTGATGAACCTGGGGCGCGGCGGTCGTTGCGAGTAAGCCGCCAAAGCTTTTCCAGAGACGACAAAATGTGATGCCTCACGGTCTGCGGGGTTTGCGTCACTTGATTTAACGTAATCCACACCAAACCCGCCACCACACCAAACCCGCCACCCTAAAACACCATAGCAATTGTGATAAATTACAGCTTCATATCGCACAAATAACACTTTATTTGGAAGCCTTTATCTAAACATATACTTTACTAGGTTAACTATATAACAATTTGGGCTCTTAGATTTAATTATATTGTCGTAGATACTAGTTATAGATAGGTTACTCTAGAATTTCTGTAATTTTTGGTAAAGTGGTTTAATATTCAGTAACTTACTAAAAGGCTAATAATTCTTATTCGGAATATAAAATTATAGCTATAGACAATAACTCAAGGTTCAATAATCAATCGTTGTTAAGATATGGAGGTATAATTTATCGCTATTACTATGGAGTTCTGGGGTGGCGGGTTTGGTGTGGTGGCGGGTTTGGTGTGGATTACGTTAGTGCCCCGGACTCAGAATTAGGTAATCAGCCCACTTTCAGCTTCTGAGTTTGGCTGAACATTACTAGGTAGTATTAATAATATTATCATTGAAACCTCAGCCAGACTCAGAACTGTATTAGGAATAGCCTATTTTAAATAACTAAATTCTATTATCTTAATAATGCTCCAGCCCTCTCATCCAAAAAGGGGTTCCAAGCACAAATATGAGGAATGCCAATTAGACCACCCCCCCCGGTCACATCTTTGCTACTTAGACCATAGTCCTTCCTAATCCAGATTAGTATATATTTTCCATCCAATTTTGGATACACCTCTACTATTTTCAAAGTATCCCTTATATCCACCCTAGGGCACCTACACTCAACAGAGAGACACCTACGATCATCCTTATCATATATACTACACTACCATAACCTCTAACTACACTAATCACTTATCTTTATACTATTTATATATTACTTACAATACTATTTATAAATTATAATACCAGTCACAATACCAGTTAGCGGTTTCGTTCAGCGGCGAAAAAGAGCTTTCAGACATATCAGCAAGATAAATTAAGCTTTATATTGTAGTGGGAGAATTGGTGACATAATGAGCCTATGTGTGGCCTCAGGCATGATTTAATGTCTGCAGTGCATAGTATATCTCCAGACACACTTAGAGGGAGACAAGTCGTCTACCCAATTCATTCAGGATTCACCCAATTTCTTCTATCTATAATGCAGCATTAAGATTATCCCGCACGGCCGCAACAGGGCATCAGTACGGCCTCATCCAGCATCCTCTACACCAGACAGGCTATGTGTGTGTGTTGTCCAGTCTGCATCGCCAGACAGCCATCGAGCCGTTCCTATTTCATATTAGCGTCCCCGGGAAGGCTCTTTTGTCAAGGCACATCACTATACGAAGAAACACACCTAAAGGGTAGGGATCGCGTTTGACCCTGAAGGCTATAAGACTGTCTGAGACCTTAAGCGGGAGACCATATTCACCAGTGATTGCGACGGTATACAGTTAGTGCGGACAAACGAGAGTGACTAGCCGAGATATAGTATTCTCCTGAATATACCTAGTTCCTACGAGGAATACTGTCGGACTAATATGCGGGAGATGCAGCGGTACTTTAGATACTACTAAAGATATAGCCTATCTAATTAAATACGGTAGCCGAGCAGAGGTACCTAGGTATCCGATAGCTATAGCACTCCACTATATAGATAATATTAATATAAATAATTCTATATTATAAATTATAAGAAGAGGAAGCGGCCTTAATAAGAAAAAAGGAAGAAGAAGAAGAATTATTAAAGAGATACGATCAAAAGTAAAGCGCACAAAGTCAGTATTTCTTTTCGGCCGAAAAGCTATCTTTTTTCTATAAGTAAGTAATAGCGCACGGTACGTAAGGTGTGATAGCTCCTAAGCTATCGGACCCTAAGGGTATTCTAACCTCTATAGATTACCGTAAACCTATACTAGAAAGATCCGAATTAACCCTAAATAATAATAATTATACGGATAATACGGATTACGAGTATTAGCCACTATTATCCTTAGCTAAACCGCCTAGTAGGGTATAAGCTATACCTTATCCTTATATAATTTAAGTGCCTTATTTCTCCGTATTACTAGCTCTAGGATCCCTAAGAGCACTATATTTTAATAAGACTAATATCTCTGAGTTCTTAGAGATACTATAGGATATATATTTTAGATACGGTATTAAAAGCGATAAAGATATTATAGATATATTATCTTAGTACTACGCGAAGGTCACTAAGTCTTAGGTAAAGAGATAAGACTCTTAGCTAAGAAAGGACTAAGATACCTTTAGGGAAGCTTTCTTAGAGCACTTCTATAATAATAATAGTAAGTAGTAAAGGTACACAAAGATATACCTTTAATCCCTTATATAGGTTAAGCGAATAATATAGGATAATATTCGCTTATATCTTAATAAGTTCGATAATATCTCTAGCTATATTTACTTAAAAGGCGAGATTAGCGATATAGATAGGGTAAGTCTCCTTATCTAAGGACTTCCGTAGTAGCTTAAGGAGAAGGTTATTAGAAGGTATTCTTATAAGTAGTTACCGAGAGGGACACTAATCACTTATTCGGAGGCATATATAATAATTAGGTTATATATTAGAGAGGAAACCGATATTTAGAGAATTCTTTTGACTATCGAATCTTCTCCGAGTAACCCTAAGCGTAACTAATAACTTTATCCCCCGTAGTAGTCGCCTACTACTATTACGAGGCCTTAGGAAAATTATTAACCGACCGCTAGTTAGGTCTAGCGTTAGGATAAATAGGATAGGAAGCTTAGAGAAATATAATTATAGATAGAGGCACTTACTCTTAAGCTATAGGCTAGCCGAGATATAAGAAATAATGTTCGGTACGAGCCTAATAGAAGAAACCCTTCGAATAGCCTCGGCGCTAATCCTCTAATAAAATACTAAATATACGGAGGTGCCTACTTCTCTCGACCAGATTAATATCTATCTGTGGGAGATCCAGTGGGAGATCTAATGGGAGATCAAGTCTTTTATCCTTCGATGAATAAAAGAATATTTCCTTAATAGGAAACCTCAGGGTATGGATTGAAGAAGAATTATATTTTTTTTGTAGGGAATTATGGACATATTTATATCCAATCAAGAATATTCTAGGCCTATATTAGACTTGCATTGTTTTAAGTCTAGGCCTGTCTTGCTTTGAAATCAATTATAGTCTAGGCATCATTTTTAGTCTAGACCTATTGTCAAGGCATCATTAATTGTCTAGACCTATTGTCAAGGCATCATTAATAGTCTAGACCTATGTCAAGGTATCATCAATAGTCTAGACCTATATCAAGGCATCATTCATAGTCTATCCATAGAACACCTTTTAATAGACCTATTATAATTAGGTGGCTTTTCGTATTTACCTGACCAATTATAAAGATCATAGTCTTCTTGGATGACTAAAGGTAATGCTGACAGTCCTTGATAATGCTGACAAAGGTAATGCTGACAGTCCTTGAATATGCTGACACGAAGTCTGTTCACCGAGGTCCGAAGACCATTGCCGAGGTTCGCGGGCAAGGCATGCCCGAAGACACCCCCGAAGGAACGGACCATTCATACCTGAAGGCGGACCATTTACCCTTAAAGGAAAATGGTCCTGCCTATCGTTTGGGGGGGCCGTGGGCCAGAATCAGAAGTGGTCAAAATATCATTTTGATAGAAGAAAAATCTGGTTACGTGATCAATACAATCTGGTCTTATATGTTGAATATAAGGATAGATCTTTCTATGTAGCATTGGTCTATATTCCAATAATAGTTATTAGAAAAGATAAGATTTTAGCAAAATAACCCTAAATAATAATAGTTATTAGAAAACTAGAACTACTTAGTATTAGAAATTACTAATAAATGCATAGAAAAACCCCTAGAATCCGTATAACTTATATATAAACGAGTAAGTCACGTTTTCTACCTATTTATCCTATTTATAGACCCTAAGGGTAACCCTAAGGGTGACCCTTAGAGGGTCGGATATATAGGTACCCAACCCTTAGGGTCTAGAAATCGGACCCTCCACCCGCCAAGAGGAAGTGCGGGTGAAGGGTCCGGAGGGTCACCCGCGGGTGAGTGCCAGGTCTAGCGATCTATCTATAAGCCAGACCCACTCCTATTGTCCTCTAGTAGAATTAATAGAATTCGCTAACTTTACGGACGAATATTTTAATAACCAGGGTAGCTAGAGATAATTAGATCATATATATATTATCCTTAAGCCTTTCTAAATATAGTAACTTAAAAAAACAAAGCTATACCCCTACGTAGTGCATTAGCTTTAGGTCACGATTGTAGGTATAGAATCCCAAAACCGTCAACCACCCTGGTTGACGGTCGGGAATAAGGTGTAGGGTTACAACTGCCGGTATCAATTGTACCAGTCTTTAAATAATTAGCTTCACAGGACGTGGCGGTGTTGTTAGGTTGGGTCGGCTTTTCCCTCATGGTTTTCCCTCATGGTAAGTGGGTCCTAGATTGTGGAAACCAGATCTAGCACCCCCAGGAGGGTGTTACGAAATAATCTCGAAGGTATACGCTAATGCGGGGAGAAAGACACTGAGGACCAACCAACTTAGATCAGTCAGCAAACGAGGTATTATAGAAGGAACTATAATACCCTTTATAATATAATATAATAATAACTAATATTATATAACCGTAACTACTATATCGACTCTTAGGAATAGATAACGGAGTATATAGTAACTCCTAATATACCCCTAAGGGGTAGATTAGGGAGTAGGAAGAACTAAGATATAAGGATACTCGTTCCTACTTTATATTTAGTTCTTTACGATTAATCCTATAGAATTACTTACAACCTACTATATAACAATATCTTTACTATTTAATTTATTAATAACCTATCCTATAATTAGGCTAGCTCCTTAGTAATCTAACCTTATAAGATTGCTTTACGGACCTAAGCCTATATAAAGCCTAAAATATTAGGAAATGTATAGTTACGAGTATTGCTTAAAGGTACGACCGTGGTAAGTATATCAGATACGAGACCAGCTCACCAGTTCGCAGGAGCAGTGCGTAACAGAGGGACCGACCGCGCTGATTGGCTGCCCGAGCGAAACCACGGTGGTTCCGGTCGGCAATACAGGTCTAAGTCAACTACAGCGGATTTGATGCATGCGATGCGCAGTCTTAGCCCGTGCTGATCTCTATTTCGTGGTGACTACGGCTTTGGTAAAGATTACAATTAGGACAATTCGATAGTTAAATTTACTCGTCAGCCAGCCTAAGGAAGCTACTACATGTCCTGCTTCATGATAACATATATTTCAGCGGTTTCAAATTCTCTGCTGGGCTTGGAAGATATTAACACATCGCACTTGGGGCTCTTTTGTGGCTGCTACTGAACCATGCTCAACGACTGAAGAGCTTACATTTCCCCCAGTGAGTCTCGCTCAAGCTTTGACGACGTCAAATCCCTCCTCCAAGTTATCCAGGGCCTTCCGAATCTCGATGGCATAAGCGGGGATACCACCAGAGTAGCACACTGGTTCATAAACCTTGCCAGGGATGCTGCCACCCATGTACGTCGACCTCGTAGTGGGGAAGAGAGTCCTGTCGTTGAGCTCGACAACATGCTTCTTCCACTTATCAGCGGCCTCGATCTTGGGGTTGATGTACTTGATGCCATTGGCCTCGATCTTGGCAATAGCGTCAGCAATCCACCGGCCCTGCACGGCTACTGACGTGGGGCCATTGCTCAAGAGCGTCGGGCCGTGCGGACCATAGATGTGGAACATGTTGGGGTAGCCGCTGACGGTGGTGCCGAGGTAGGTCTTTGCGCCTGGGATCCATTCCTTCTCGAGCTCCGCGCCGTCGATGCTCTTCAGGCCGAGCTGAGTCATGACGCCGGTGACAACGTCCTGTGACTGTCAGTCCTTGCGCTATCTTGTTGGTGTATCAAGTGAAACTTACAAATCCAGTCGCGACAGCAACTACATCAAGCTCATGGTAAGTTCCGTCCTCCAGGGTGATACCGGTCTCGGTAAACTCCTTAATGTGGTTGTCCTTGATGTCAACCAGATGCACTGTTTCTCGGTTGAACTGCTCGTAATAAGACTTCTCTAGACACGGCCGCTTGATACCAAAGTAATGCGGCATCTTGCGCGGCGCAAGCAGCTCCCTTAGTTTAGGGTCGCCAATACGAGCCCGGGTCTTCTTAGCCCAGAAATTATACGACTCTTTGTTGGCCTCGGGATTAGACAAGTTATCCTTATACAAGGCAACCCAATAGCGGAAGCCGCCGTCCTTCCAGACGCTCTCGTAGAAGGCCTCACGCTCCTCGGGAGTGTCGTCAAAGGTATTGCGCTCGCACCAGTCGTACATGAAGCCAGCAAAGTTGGTTTCGCGGTACCGGAACAGCTCCGGGTAGTAGGGCTTGATACGCTCCTGCTCCTCCACGGTCAGGTTGCGCTTGCGCATGGGCACAGCGAGGTTAGGGGTTCTCTGGAAGACCTTGAGGTCGCCAGCCTCGGGGCCCCAGGCCTGCGTGATTTGCACACCTGAGGCGCCGGTGCCGATGATGGCACAGCGCTTGTTTTTCACGTCAACTTCTTCCTCGGGCCAGAAAGACGAGTGGTGCACGACGCCCTTGAACTTGTCCATGCCGGGCCATGGTGGAATATAACGCTTGGCGGCCTAAACACTTCATTAGTAGATGCTCGGTTAACCAATGGGTACAATGACTTACAAAGCCGGTTCCGAGGACGAGGTACTTGGCCTTAGTCGTGCGGCCATCTGCAGTCTGAATATGCCATTTCCCCTCGTTCGTATTGAACTGAGCTCCCACCACGACGGTATTAAAAGAGCAGTCTTTCTTGATACCAATTACCTTGTCGACGTGGTCGAAGTAAGCACGCAGATTCTTGTAGTCGGGGTAGTTGTTGGGCCAGTTCCACGTCTTATATACCTCAGGCCAAGAGAACTCATACTCCGGGACTTCGGAGTCGACCCCGGCGCCGGGATAGCAGTTCCATCGCCAGGTGCCACCCGTATCGTTGCCGGCCTCGAAAACGACCGTCTTTAGGCCGCGATCGCGGAGGGTCTTGAGCATAAAGACGCCGGCTATATCGTTAGCTGGTGGACGAAGCGTGCAAGTGACGGCGACTTACCAAAACCGGCACCCACAATCAAAGCGTCGACCTCGAGGTTTTCGGCATAGGGCCCGGTCTTACTGGCGTGGACTGCCGAGTAGTCGGTGAGCTCGGTGTTGTACTTCTTGGGTCTAGAGACCGTCTCTCCTAGGCTACCCATTTTGGTTGATGGTTGAAATGATCAAGTATTGCAGTTGTTGAAATACTCCTTAGAAGAATTAACAGTTTGGTATTTCTTCCAGGATTTTCTTTTCTCGGACACATATTTATATTCCCTTCGTTGCTACACATGTCTTGCTGACGAGATTAGCATACGCTCTCATCAGCATCACAATAATCATTACGGTACAGGTAACTGCGGCTTTGTCGATCCAATCCATTGGGCGCGTTTGTTCTAGATACACCCCGCCCTCATGCACGACGACATGTCATTGGGTTTCCCCGCGTCCCCCCAGATTTCATGTCATCTTTAGGTTTGCCGTTGCAGCCGCTGATTGGGTCCCTTCGGCAGTTAGTTGCGGTTGCGGAGAAGGATGATGCAACGATCCCCGGGCCCCACTATCCGCAGCGGTTCCGCGAAGTGCGGTTCCGCAGCTATATACAGCCGCTCCAGAATCAGGGGACTCGTCATCGGTGTCACGGGCAGAGGTATTGGAGGAGCTATTGTCAACGGGCTGTTTGAACTGATCGTTAAATAAGCCACGTTTGTAGTCTCCCGGGCACCGTCGCTGTCACCTTGAAGGTAGATCCAACCTCATATTCTCTATACCAAAAATTTCCCGCACAATCGCCCACCTTTCCTCATACAGCCATCAGCATGTCTCTTGATGCGCAAGCGGCTTCGCGTCTTCGCGAGATCGTAGACATGGCCTGCGAAGACCAAAAGTCCGGTATCCCCAGGGACCACGGTGGTGGTCGTTGGCAAAGATGGCAATGAACTATTCACTCACTCTGCCGGGAAGCAAGGCATGGGATCCAAAGACAGAATGACTTTAGATAACATCTTCTGGATTGCATCTTGCACGAAGATGTTGACAGGTGTCGCCTGCATGCAACTGGTTGAGCAGGGCGTTCTTGAGCTGGATGATGGGGAGCAGACAGAGAGTCTTTGCCCTGAATTAAAGAGTCTCAAGGTTTTGCGGCCAGATGGCAGTTTTGAGGAGAAGAAGCATGCCGTTACCCTGCGTATGCTGTTGAGCCATACTTCCGGATTCGGCTATACTTTCTTTAATGAGAGACTGAGACAGTGGTCGTATCCGGTTGGCGTAGACGAGTTCTCTGGTCGGATTGAAGATATGAAGATGCCTCTGCTTTTCCAACCCGGAGAAGGTTGGGAATACGGTGTAAGTGTCATTAGTCTAAGGCTATGAAGCGCATCGCTAATGAAAATAGGTTAGTATCGACTGGGCGGGAATCGCACTGGAGCGCGCAACTGGCCTGACGCTCAACGCCTATCTCCAGGAATATGTCTTTCAGCCCCTTGGCATCAAGGACATGTCCATGATTCCGAGCCACGACATGCGCCGGAGAATAGCGTATATGAACTATCGAAACCCAGACGGCACTCTGAGGGCCCGAGATCATCTTCTTCGAGCGCCTCTGGTTGTTGATCCGGACAACAAGACCGAAGTCGCCAGGGTTTTCAATAGCGGCGGCGCAGGCATGTTTGCCAAACCGCAGGAGTACTGTAGTGAGTTGCCCCAAAATCCTGACAAGATTCTATACACTGACTTGTCGCCACAGAGGTCCTAGCTGTCTTGCTAAACGACGGAACGTGCCCTAGGACGGGCAGCAAGTTGCTTCGCAAGGAAACTGTGGACGAAATGTTCTCCAACCAAATCTGCCAGTTCCCTAACTACAGCCGCCAGGGCATCCCAGCCGCAAAACCGGACCTGACGAACCCTATTCCTGAGCTGTACCCAGTTTCCGGGAACCCGCCGCAGGGCTGGGGTATCACGTTCATGATGAGCAACGGCGGCGCGACAGGGCGGTCGAATGGCACTGTGCACTGGGCTGGGCTGCCGAATTGCTGGTGGTGGGCGGACAGGGAGAAGGGCGTTGCCGGTATTGTTTGTACGCAGATTCTGCCATTTGCAGACTCCAAAGTGCTTGGTCTATGGGGAACAGTCGAGGCCGAGATATACAAAGCGATTGATCAGTGAGGTTGAATGTAGGGGAATTTTCTTAGGCACCTAGCTAGTTGTCGCGTATCGATGGTTTCTTCAGAGTTAGAATCGGTATCCGCGATGAGCTTCATAAAATACATCTTGTCCGTACTTTACGCACCCCAAATTCATATGGATGATAATTGCTCCACACGACTCGTAAGGACGAACCTACACACGGCACAGGTCTGAGTCCCAATCGTGGCTAATCCTCGTTGGACAAGCAAAATAGTAGATTCGCCGCTGAGAAATGCGGGGAATCCGCAGTCCCGGCCATCGAGTGTACCGGGTTCCCAGAGTATGAGTAAGGATCTCCTGGTTCCCCGCCTTTTGACGCGATCCAACTACTCCACTGGCTTGACTTTATATTCTTCACACCCAAAATCTCAAATTCTCGCATTACAGTCCTAGGAGGGGAAAAGAAAAGAGCAACGACCGTAATCGGCATGCCTATCCAGAAACACGCCACAGCGCTCGCAGAAGGATCCAGAACCAGACGTCAGAACCACTCCTGCGACCAGTGCAGAAAATCCAAGCGAGCATGCGATGCACTATGTCCGGACCTGACCCGACGAGCATCATTTAGCAACGTCAAGCGATCACCATGCTCCTACTGCACCAGAACAAAGAAACGCTGTACAATGGAGTGGGCTCGGTCGCAGGCTCTATCTGCGCCGAAATCACCTCGCCAACAAGCGCGTTCTGAACGGTTGAGTCGAGATTTTGTCTTCCCGTGGAAGGCTAATGTGCCCCAGGTTGAGACTGGACCTGGAACGTGGGATAGTCTGCTCGAACCAAATCCCACGCAGGAGCTTATGACCTGGGAGCCAGCCAAAGTGCATCTGTACGGGTCGTTGTTGGACTATGATTTAATTCCGCTCGGTTCCAGTGATAACGAGGTCCCCCAGGAAGAAATGCAGGCGGAATTGTCCGACACTTTGACGTCCGCACGATCTGTGTCCGATTTCCTGCCATTAGACTTCTCCAGTGCCTCAGACTTCTCTACCCAGAATCCCTCTGACCTCGAACTTGATCCGATGTACCATCAGACGTGGCTGGCCTCCCAGGCTTTTCAGACGCCTCAGATGTCCAGCAGCCTCCAATCTGCCTCATCCAAAAGTCCCTGGCGGCTGAGTGACCCCGCCTGGATGTCCTTCAACCAGCAAAGCTCCCGCTGGAACAGCCCCCAAAGCTCGCTCTCCCCATTTTCCATCGACCAACAAATGTTCGCCACATCCAACTACCAGCTGACCTCAGAAAACCTGCTCCAAATCTACCACGACGTGCTAGAGCACAACCTATCGTGCTGGTTGACCGAGATGACCTGTCCCTACCAACCGGGTTCGCGAAATACCACCCACGTCGTGCCCGAATGGGGTTCATCGTGGTCCAACAGGATATACCAGCGCACGATCAAGCTCGATCGCGTCGCACAGTCTTGTAAGCTCTTGCAACTGACACGCTCCGAGGACCAGGCCGCGTCCAAGGCTTTACACCTTGCCATCATGGCGTTTGCTACACAGTGGGCTCAGGGAAGTCGTCGGCACCGCGAGAAATATGCAACCATGTCACTCGATAATGGCGAGGACGAAATTGCAGATTGCATCGTCGACGACTTCGACCGCCTCCTCCAGCACCACTTTTGGGACCAGGCGCATCGCGCACTACAACAAGTCGCCGATCTGGAGTCGTACAGAGTGGCTTGCGCCGAGGTGATCTTTGGTTTGACACAAAGGCCATGGAATCACGACGACCAGTTTCCTAGATATAAAGAAAGGATCTCAAGGCCGCAAGTTTGCCACGGACTCGGTCTTGTCAGAGTTACGTGATATAATACGCAAGGAAGGGCCACCGATATACATGGAGAGCGCAGCTCGAAAAATGCACGCATTAAAGTATCGCCGTGACATGCTCGAAAAGGGCCTCGGCCAGCACTGCGGCAGTCGAGAGAGGGGCGCACACGGCGTTACAGCCATGAGTTCCGAGGATCGAGCGACGATCGGCCTGCTCTACTGGCTGGCCATCATGTTTGATACCGTCTCCTCGTCCATGAACGAACGGCCCGTCGTGGTACTGGATGAGGACTGCCAGCACGAAGCGCAGAAAGAGACCCAGCAAGCTGCGCATATGGACAAGTCTCTCGCACGAAGCGGATGGGATCTCGACCTTTTCGTGCAAGGAAGCCTCGAGGAGACGCATCAAACGCACTGGCCCTGCTCATACGAGGCCGCCGCCGAGGATGTCATCAAGTCAGCGCCTGTCAAAGTCCTTCTCTTCCGCCACCTCTCGTACCTACAAAACGCTATCCGCAAGAGCGCTCATGAAGAGCAGATCGAAGACATCATCCGCAGCACGACATTGCTGTATCAATACTGGAACAAGACGCACGGTGCCTTCTTCGGGGAACTCGTACGGAACTACAGTGCGGTTCCGCAGCGCATACAGGGCTGGTTTGTCTGTATCTCTGCGCACTGGCACCTCGCCGCACTGATGCTTGTGGATCTATTTGAATTTGTCGACGAGAAGGCCTTGGGTTTGAAAGATGTAGCTCGCAGTCGTACCGCGAGTCAAACGGTCAGGAGAATTAGAAAGCATAGCGCCACGGAGTTATCAGATCTGGCAAGAGTCGCTACCCCATCTACCAGAGATGCCAACCTGGGTGTGCCGCAGATGCCGGACTTTCACCACGCTGTCAATGAGGGAACACTCCTGACCGAGCCATGGACGATGATACTCATTAGGGCGTTCACAAAAGCTTGCATGATCTTCTTAGGTGAAGCAGATGAGTCCTTGCGCTATGCCGGAAATACTCTCGGGCACAATAGTCATGATTTCGATCAGAATATGGAGCAGGCGGAAGATTGTATGAAGGGGCTGTGGCTGCTAGGTAAAAAGTCGGATATGGCACGGAAGATTGCTGAGACGCTTTCACTCGCGTTGGGAGAATTGCGGGATGAGTGTGCGGTCTGTTGGACAGCTGGATAGCGGAAAGTTGCGTCTGTTGGAGAGTCTCAGTTCGGGCTCTGAGGCTATAAGACCGTTTGAAGAGATCATCCGGGCCGCTCTAGAAAGAACAAAACCTGTCGCATCGAAATCCACTTGGTCAAAAAGAGTCTCCACTGATCCTGCCCTGCTCGATACGCTACCCATAGAAGAGATGTTAGCAAAGCAGTCACAAAATTAGGTAAGGCTACTTGCGAAACCCCCAGCTCGCTATGCAGTAAGCCTTCGGATTTTGTATCGCTGCTATTCTGTGCGCCATTCGGTACTTTGCTCCAAGACTTCTGCGTGCCAAGGTGTGCTTCCACGGCGAGCCCTTAATCGATGGTGAGCAACTGAGCCTGCCTTTTTCTCTCTCTATACCTTGTGGCGTATCTTCGCATGCCGGACAGGAGCACGAGAATCCTCATTTGTCCAGCTCCGGTTTGCGTTGATCCTTGGTGTGATTGGTACCATTGATATACGAGATTGTAAGCTCCTCGCCTGCCATGATGTGCCGTATAGCATGGAATGTCTCTTCTTTGAGCATTGAGTTATATGCAAACTTGATATTTGGAAGGCGCGAATGGTTGATGCGAGAGCCGAGCAAGAACACCCTGCCACAGGCGTTTGCTGCATAGATGGCGAGTACTTGCGATGCAGTTCCGGAATGTTCTGCCAATCCTGCTCCGTTTCACGCTCAGCATCGCGTTTAAATATATTGTATGCATAACCATGGAGTTCTAGGTGTAATACTTGCTGTGAAGCTGAAAGTTGTTCGACGGCCATCACGACATCTTTCGCGTTCGAATTTTCCTGACTGACTTCAAGTAAGACTGGCTCTCCGGGAATATCGGATTTCGTAAACACGCCCAGACCTTTGCTAGCCGATTCCCTCACTTCCATAAGATGATTTGCATTTACAAAATATTTCAGTTTGTGTGGCCCAACACCACGGTGTAGGTGTCAAGCACGGCCGCGCGGTCGTCGGGTCCCTGGATGTGTGCGTGCTAGATGCTTACGGATTGTCGCCAGCGACCGCGAGACATACGCGCTGAGGGGGCAGCGCAAGCCACGATAGACAGGAAGACCGGGAATAGACGCGGAGTCGGGTGGAGGGAATTTGCATGGCTCCCGCGTCGGCTCCAGCCATGGCCGTTTTAACATCTCGGCCAGGGCAGCCTGACGAAGCTCCGCGGTGCCGGCGGCTGGATGGCGCCGATGATGGCTGCAGAGATGAGCGTCGAATTGACGGGGAGTAACGGCGTATCGACAGTCGATGCAGATCCAGATCTGGTACGTTGCGTTGTATGTAAAAAGATCCATCCCGCGATACTGAACCGTCCGAGCCTCGCGTGGACAGGCCCGAGTCCCGACAGGTTTAGCAAGGTGAGTAGTGAAATTTGGCTGGGGCTGCAATAGAGAATCTTGAGAAGCGAACGGACGCGAACGCGATCACCGACACGGTCGCGGACGCGTACTGTTGAAGCGCGCCGCCACTATTTCCACACGGAGCATGAAATAGAAGAAATTATGATATAAAGTAGGCTCAGTAGCGGATGCCGCATAGATGTACCAGGCACGCACCTCAGGGGGACGGGAGCACGCACGAGGCAAGCCGGTCGGCCAATCAGGCGACAAGTAATTGGAGCGAGGGCTGAGTCGTTCATGTACTAGGGTATAGGGCTGACTCGTTCATATACTAGGGTACAGGGTTACCTGCCTGCGTTGCGTTCCGTTGCGGGCGGTCGAAAAGCGTGGATTGAATCTACTAAATTAAACTCTTTTTGATATTGGGCTAACTAAAGCAACCGAATTTATCTAAGTGCGCGAACTAAGCTAAATCCGGTTAGCCGAGTGTCGGGTATGTGGGCCCGAACACCACCCCGTTAAAAATCACTTGCCTTCCAATCGTTACGTAATTGCCTAGCCGGCGCAATTCCCTTGCATTAAAAGTTCTCCTCTTAACATATATGCATCTGTATTTACGTATTGTAGTGGGAGAATTGGTGACATAATGAGCCTATGTGTGGCCTCAGGCATGATTTAATGTCTGCAGTGCATAGTACATCTCCAGACACACTTAGAGGGAGAGAAGTCATCTACCCAATTCATTCAGGATTCACCCAATTTCTTCTATCCATAATGCAGCATTAAGATTATCCCGTAAGGCCGCAATAGGGCATCAGTACGGCCTCATCTAGCATCCTCTATACCAGACAGGCAGTGTATATATATGTGTTGTCTAGTCTGCATCGCCAGACAGCTATTGAGCCGTTCCCGTTTTATATTAGCGTCCCCGGGAAGGCTCTTTTGTCAAGGCATATCATTATACGAAGAAACACACACCTAAAGGGTAGGGATCGCGTTTGACCCTGAAGGCTATAAGACTGTCTGAGACCTTAAGCGGGAGACTATATTTACCAGTGATTACGACGGTATATAGTCAGTGCGGACAAATGAGTGACTAGCCGAGATATAGTGTTCTCCTAAATATACCTAGTTCCTATAAGGAATGCTATCGGACTAGTATACGGGAGATATAGCGGTACTTTAGATATTACTAAAGATATAGCCTATCTAATTAAATACGGTAGCTAAGTAGGGGTACCTAGGTATCCGATAGCTATAGCACTCCACTACACAGATAATATTAATATAAATAATTCTGTATTATAAATTATAAGAAGAGGAAGAGGCCTCGATAAGAAAAAGGGAAGAGGAAAAAGAATTATTAAAGAGATACGATTAAAAGTAAAGCGCACAGAGTCAGTATTTCTTTTCGGGCCGAAAAGCTATCTCTTTTCTATAAGTAAGTAATAGCGTATAGCACGTAAGGTATAATAGCTCCTAAGCTATTAGACCCTAAGGGTATTCTAACCTTTATAAATTACTGTGAACCTATACTAAAAAGATCCGAATCGACCCTAAGTAATATTAATTATATAAATAATACGGATTATAAGTACTAGCCACTATTATCCTTAGCCGAACCGCTTAGTAGGGTATAGGCTATACCTTATCCTTATATAGTTTAAGTACCTTATTTCTCTGTATTATTAGCTCTAGGATCCCTAGAAGCACTATACTTTAATAAGACCGATATCTCTAAGTTCCTAGAGAAGCTATAGGATATATATTTTAGATATAGTGTTAAAAGCGATAAAGATATTATAGATATATTACCTTAGTACTACCGAAGGTCACTAAGTCTTAGGTAAAGAGATAAGACTCCTAGCTAAGAAAGGACTAAGATATCTTTAAGAAAGCTTTCTTAGAGCACTTCTATAATAATAATAGTAAGTAATAAAGGTACACAAAGATATACCTTTAATCCCTTATATAGGTTAAGCGAATAATATAGGATAATATCCGCTTATATCTTAATAAGTTCGATAATATCTCTAGCTATATCTACTTAAAAGGCGAGGTTAGCGATATAGATAGGGGTAAGTCTCCTTATCTAAGGACTTCTATAGTAGCTTAAAGAGAAGGTTATTAGAAGATATTCTTATAAGTAGTTACTAAGAGGGACACTAATCACTTATTCAGAGATATATATAGTAATTAGGTTATATATTAAAGAGAAAACCGATATTTAGAGAATTCTTTTAACTATCGAATCTTCTCTGAGTAACCCTAAGCGTAACTAATAACTTTATCCCCTATAGTAGTTACCTACTACTATTATAAAGCCTTAGGAAAATCGTTAACCGCCCGCTAATTAGGTCTAGCGTTAGGATAAATAGGATAGAAAGCTCAGAGAAATATAATTATAGATAGAGGTACTTACTCTTAAGCTATAGGCTAGCCGAGATATAAGGAATAACGTTCAGTATAAGCCTAATAGAAGAAACCCTTTAAATAGCCTCGGCGCTAATCCTCTAATAAAATACTAAATATATAGAGGTACCTACTTCTCTCGACTAAATTAATATCTATCTATCTACGATATATAAGGCTATAGTATTATATACTATAATATTATGAATTAGATAGTTTTAGGCACTATTAAATAACTAAGCCCGAGACTACGCGTGATCTTAGGATAATTAAACTAAGAAGCCTTCTAAGCGTAATATAATAACTAGAAGAAGTAAGAGTTGTACAGAGTATCCGTATAGCTAAGTAATAATATCGCTTATATTACTCTTCCTGCTCCCACTTATCTTACGAACCTAAATATATCTATCTACTCTATTATTATTATACTTCTTAGTACTGCGCCTATATAGGAGAAGCTCGAGGAAAGCGATAATAAGGAAGTAATTATCCTATTCGGTACCGTTAACGCTATTAAAGGCCGTCCTATAAAGCGCTATAGAGACTAAGATATTATTAGAATAAGGAACTCCTAGACTAGCAGATTCTAACTATATATTACTAATACTAATAATAATAATATAATATAAGACGGATAGCCTAAAGAGACTTAAACTATATAGCCTTAGTAGGAAGCTACTCCGTTATATAGCTAGGTTCCGAGAAGAGTCCGCGGCCTTATTAACCTAGATATTATATAGCGAAGATCTTAGCTTTCGGATATTATAATATAAAAGATATAGGAAACCGAGATTACCCTTACGATTAGTAAGCTCGCTAGGTCTATTCCGAAGATACGCGCTAGAATAGGTAAAGGTATTAGTATAGATATTATTAACTAACGTATTAATAAGATACTCTTATAAGTATATACTTAGTCGAACTTCGTAGATATCTCTCTCTTAAAGGAAGTGAAAGATAAGATTAACTAAATTATAAGAGATATTACTAAGTATTATCGGGAGACAGATAATCCTATTAATATAAAAGATCTGGCCGCAAAAGTAAGCTACCAGAATACTTAGATAGTAGATATCTCGCCTATATTTTCTCCCTATAAATACTCTAGAGACCTCCTATTTATAATAGTTTCCGTTAGCGAATAAATAGTTAAGGCGTATATTAATATTAGATCGTTAGTTAATATTATTCGCAGAGATATCGCCTAATCTATATAAACGCAGATATAGCTAAAGCTAAGGCTAAAGCTTATTTTTATTAATAGCGGTGAGTTCGTAGTTAGTACTTATATTAAGAATCTACTAATTAATATCGGTAATATTATAACTAAGTTATATATTATAGTTAGGGATAGTTATACGAACGATCTCTTACTTAGTAGGATATAGGCGAAAGACATACTGCTATAAACCTCTAAGAAAGGTAATAGAAGGGTTATCTACATAATATCGAGCTAGGATAGAAAGAAGCGCGTTAGCTTTAAAGTATATTATCTACGGAATAGGGGATCCTTCTATAAAGACTAACTCTGGCCTAAAGAATATAAGACTTTTAGTTTAAAAGCCTAAGTAAGTATTTAGTAGCCGCCTTAATACCTACCTCTGTCCTAGCGGCCGAGTCCACTAAGACTATTTACTTAATAGTACTATTAAATATTATAAATACGATAATCACTAAAGAAGAAATAATAAAAATATACGGAAAGTAAGAAAATACAAAAATATAGCGATAAGAGAAGAAGAATTATATAGGGAAGACGAATTATAGGGTAAATAGTTTTTTAGCCAAAAAGATCTCTCCTTATCTTAGTATCTTATAGATCTAATATCTAATAGGTCCTTATTACCGCTAAAAGACTATAGCCGATATTACCTATTTTAATAAAGTTAAGTACTATATATCCTTTTCGGACTTTATTATATTAGAGCTAAGATTCCATAAGATAAGATTACCTAATACCCTTCGATCGAGGAACTATATTACCTACTATATATAAGTTAATACCCTTTATAAGAGGAAGGCAGATAAGATATACCTAGTTAATTTATCTGATTCCGATAGGTCGACCCCGCTAGCAACCCTGACTAATAAAGGATATACCTTAAAAAGTACTATACAAAGTACCGCGCCGCTAATATTTCCTCTGAATTCGATAACTTACTATAACCTTATATAGTAACTATTATAAGAGATACTAGGCTTACACCTAAAAGAGAGAAAATACTACTTATTAGTATAGCTCTTCTCCCTAGAGAGAGACTATTACTATATAAGCTATTATTTAAGAGGGAAGGGGTACTTATATAGTCTTAGGAATATATAAGTTATATTTGTGAAGAAGTTATACTAGCCTAGCGTATTAAGACTATACCCTATAAAGCTTAGTAGTATCCTAGCTTTAAGATTTCTCGGGCTCTTACGTCTATTATTAATAAGATACTCCGAGAAAGACTATAGAAAGGTATCCTCGAGTTATATAATAGTCCGTACAGAAACCTATAGTTCCTAGTAAAGAAAAAAGGCGTAGGTAAGTATTAGTTAAT